TTGTTCCACCATAAATCCTACTTGCACTGAAAACTACAGTGCATTCCTTTTATGGTACTGGAAAAATGTTCATAAAATATTCCAGATTCTTACTGAAAAGAAATAATAAGAATTCTGGAAGTATTTGGAATGATCTAATTTTGAATTCAACAATTATGGTAAATGGGAATTATTTTTTTATCAAAATGACATAATAATTATTCTTAATAAGGTTATTTATTGGTTACTTAATAAGGTTATTTATTTATTGATGTAACATATATAATATATATCACAATGCTGAATTCCAAAGTGATTAAAGACATTTCCAAAGATAAACACAACAAACTAAATACATAAAAACAAATAGAAAACACCAACTGAATGCAACAGTGACAATCCTTACAGATTCAAAGCTTGGTAGAATAGCTCCCTTTAGTGGCCTTCCTAAATAGCTACAAAGAGGGCACTAAATGAATCATACATAATAGAAATTTTTCAACCATTTTTACATGACAAACAAATGGGATGAGCCAGTCCCATTCAATAAGATAATTTTTAAGATACCCAGATGCCAAGCCATGAAGATTGGTTCGTAGGGTAGAAAGCGGTCCCCAGCCTTTCCAGATCCACAGAACTGGAGCAAGTGGCAGTGGCGGGGGGATGGTTTCATGACGCAACCTAATCCCATGCATGTACAAATGAAGTTTTGCATGCTGGCCCGCCGTTTGTGCAGCCCAGTTTCCAATGGATTGCAGATTGTGTCTAGTCCATAGACTGGAGGGTAGAACATTACTTTAAATTGTATTTGGAAATGTATTGTTATTGAGTGCATTACTTGCAAAATTAATGTTACATAGCTGTTCTGACCCAACCTGGTTCCAAGAGAGCCAACACCAGACAAAAGCAGCAGCCCTCACATTTTAAGGTTTCATCTATGAATTCTGTTTCTTCACAGATAAAAGGCTGCTTCCAACTAATTCATTCCGACAAGAAAGAGCCTTGCCAAGTTGTTTTCAAGGCTACCAAAAAAACACAGATAAGAAATAGTTTACAAGAGTTTTCAAATACTAACTATAATGTTCTCAAATACTAACTAGAATGTTCACGAGGTTGAGTTTCAGAGCGTCTTTGCCTTCTGCAAAGAATGCTTCTTCAAACGTGGCTTTTATCCTCTTGAGGGAGGGGCCATTACCTTGCAGACTTAATCCCGAGTCGCCCATGCTGCTGTAACTGCTCTCTCCTATGAGCAATCCTGTGCGCACACGCACTTGGCACAGACTCCTCGGGAACCTCCTCATCACTGCTGCCAGCCCCCACAATCACTGAAGGCAGCAGTCCACTCCCTAATGATCCTGGCCTCGCATCTGAGTCCTTGCTCTCCTCTGCCATCCGCACTTGCTGCTGGCTAACCACAACAATAGCTGTGATTGTGGGTTACTGCAATTTGCACCAAATGAAGTTTCTGTTTTTGAAACTGAGTCTTGAAAAACATCCCTGTGTAACATACACTGCAATCTATCTTTAAAGTGGTTAAAAGATTAAAAACTAGTGTACACACAAATATTTTGATTAAAGCTTCTCAGATCCTCACTGTCTACTGATATGCCAAAACTAATAATAAGTTCAGGAGTCCTCCGTTTCATCAGATAACTTTAAGACATTTGGATACACAGTGGTTTGGGACCAAACAGCATCTCAGGCTCTATACACTGGTTTCTAACTTAACCCAAGATAGAATTTTATTTCTGCATATCATTGGCCTCTAGATAGCAAATGTATAATTACAGCATCTTAAATTGCCCCAAAGTGAAAATTAGATCTATGATACGATTACCTACAGTATATGAATCAGGCCAGATATTACCTGAGACAGATCCATCCTTCCTAAGGTATAAATATTGAAGTTCCTCTGCACAAATAACCAGAATTATTACAATAAAAATTGAGCAATAATTCTTGAAGCTCACAGAATGATAATTTTAGCTTTCTTAACAAAGTTTCAACACAGGACCATTTATTCATCCAGAACTAAGTTGTGGATGTTTTTTTCATTAATAGATAATCAGTGGCAATCTGAGTCTAAGGCAGTTCAGCTCCCTGACCATTGACCAAGAAAAGAAAACTGGCACAAATTGCTGTTTTGCTTTGTTTTGTTTTGTTTTCTCTTTAAATGACCAATCACTGCCTCTTCCTTTTGGAAGCTACACACTCATTGGGCAGGAATGGGAATTTAAGAAATGTACCACCACACAAGTTCTTGTTTTCCAGTGGTTCCTACATGGCTCCATTACTCCAAGTATGTTATTAATAAAAATTGTGTTATTAATAAAAATGATAATGTAGTCAAAATATATGTGGAGCATATGTTCTCTTATAAAGTATTTTCTTTGAAGATAAGAGAATTGAATCTAATTCTTCATACTTTCATACTTTTTCTACTTTCTCCTTTACTTTGCAATAAAACCACATTTTACTAAACAGCCTGCAAGTAATAACTGAAATCTCCATGAAGATTTTCCAGCGAGGAATGTCTGAACTGTAAAATAATTTCAAAAACTCGTAATCTTCATAAAGCTCTAAGGCTTTTCTTGCAATGAACCAGGACCCTGAATTACAGATAGTCCTCAACCTTCAGCCACAATTGGGCCCAAATGTTTATTGCTAAATAAGGCAGTGGTGAAGTAGTTTTGCCCCACTTTATGCCCCTTTTTGCCATGGTTGTTAAGCAGATCGCTGCAATTGTTAAATGAATGATGCGATCATTAAGTGAATCTGGCTTCTTCCATTGACTTTGCTTATCAGAAGCTATCTGGTAAGGTTACAAATGGTGATCACATGACCCCAGGACACCGCAACTGTCATGAATCCCAGCACAAGTGGATGAGGCTAGATTTTGAATGGGAAGTCAATGATTCAAGGATATCAAGCAGTTGCAGGATAAGTTAAGATCTGTATATAGAGTTCCAGTAGACAAACTAGCATAAAAACAAATCTTATCCATCCATTTTAATTCTAGATGATGCTGAAAACCATATTGCATATGAGATTTTTTTTCCCTCAGTATTGAAAATCATACAGTATCTTTATCTCCAATTCATGACATTTCAGATTTATTTTACTCCTTTGGTGTGAGTTATTTCATTTTGAATTACAAATGCAATTTTAATGTGGCAAATAATACGAGGGGGAGGTTTTGGATTCTTGTTTTTTCCTTTTGAAGAATAGCCCTAACATGGTTTTAAAAAGAATGATGGTCAAGCCCCAAAATAGAATTATGTAATATCGATTTATAATCCTGCATGGCCATTTTGATGTTGGAATACGAAAGTATTGCTTTTCTCTCCTATTAAATGGTCTCTTATTTGTTCCTAACTTCCCCTGTTTAACAGCAGACAAACCCAGGGAGTACTGAATGAATCGGATGATCCCGAGACAGGCTGTCTAACTGATAACAAGCCAACTTCTCGTCACTTCTATCCTGTCGCCTTGCTGCTTGTCAGCTCACACTTGCTGGTTGTGTGGCTTATTTTAAGTCTTGCTTTACTATTAGCAAAATATCAGTAAAGTTCACTTCTGTTTGTTGCTTTTTTTAAGGAACAAGAACACTTTAAAATTACACATTGTACTATATTGTACATTCTTGGACCCTCAGACTAGTTCTTAAGAAGCCAATGTCTTGAACTGCATACTTTCTCCTTTTCATCCCAGGAATCAAGAAAGCATACTGTGTTCAACTGATTTAATCTATCTTCTAGCTCTAGCAAACCTTTTCACGTTTCATTAGTTCTAAGACAGCCAATGTACATTAGGGTTTCTTGATCAGATTTGACCTAATCATTCACCCCCTTGTAATCAAATTCCAATTTAGGGGATTGTCAGCACTTTATTTTAATTCAGGACAGATTTGCAGAAATAGTTATTTTTCCCAGCATAATATTTGTACTCAGGTGTGAAAATTGCCAAATTCTACTTTACTAGATAGAATCATTCCCTTTAACAGTGCTATCTTTGCCATTTTTATGCCAGGAGCCTCATAAAATGATTGGTTCCTTATATGAAAATGTAATGATAAAACCTCCAGCATGATTATATATTTTTTCCTGTGGTGATTGGTCAAAACATGTAAGAAGATAGAGGAAAGTATTTACACACTGACATTTAAAACTAAGTTAAATATTCTGGGTAACATCAAAAGATTAATTTTCAGTGTGCTGTTTTCATTATTTCTTGCCAGTAGAGTTCTTCTGTTTTAACAAATAATTTTAATATTTATTTTAATTATTTGTTGCATAACTAACTCTTTTTTGTCAAGCCATCTCTGGCATACAATAACTTACTTTGTGTAACATAATTAACCTGTTTGTAAGTGTTGCTTTTGCTATCTTTACTTTACAAAATCCGTCTATATTATTTTAAACAAAGTTTTCTTTGCATTTTGTTGGCTCTTGTGAATTTTGTACTATGTATGAATCAAGCATCCTTTCTTTATACAACAGAAAGTTGATTTGGGCTCCAAGAAAGCCATGCTTTTTTTTTCTTTCATCATAAACATAAAAATGAGTCAAAGGGAGATCTTTTCTTTGCAAATTAATAGAGTCAGGTTTCATTAAAAAACTGCCTTATTCATGGAACATGTACACTTACAGTTACATGTAAACTTTAACATGTACGAATGAGCGAAAGAAAACCAATCTGAAAAAAGTAAGATAATTTTTAAAATAAATATATTTCTAATCCTAGAGTAAAATATATCATAAAATATAATATCTAATCAAGCCACAGTGAGAAGAAATATATATATATATAAAATCCCATAACCTACTTTTGAGGGCAAAAACTGTATTGGCCTGGCCTTGGATCTAATTCTGTAAGATGTATCATCACTTGTGGAAAATATATTGTAGATTTATCTTTGTTATTTTTACTTCAATTGTTGCTAAAACTCTGCAATGTACAAAATAAAACATATTTATTTATGATTTGTTTCACGAAGTTGTCTTTTTCCCCCTCTGCACTAGACAAGGATGCCGCATAGAAAATGTCCTGAAGAATATCAAATGCAGAAAGTATGCTTTCAACATGATTCAGCTGATGGCTTTCCCCAAGTACTACCGGCCACCAGAGGGAACATATGGAAAAGCTGACACCTAAGCTCTTAGATAAAAAGGCCCTTTTGAAAGTTTGCAGGATTACACAGCTACACTCATTAGTTAACGCGCATATGTTTTGTGTGTTTTTCAGGTTGGGAGGATGCCTTTAAGCAGACATACCTAGGATTTGTTTTATCAAACTGTACCATCACTCAAAAGAAACTTCAGTATATATGGTAGATTGAGCATCCAGGCATTGAGTTATCTGTTGAATAAATACAGAATTTTCATAAAATACTGTACGATGTATATCATAGGTTCACTAGAGTTAAGGGTTTGATCCACAGTCCAATAAAAAGGTAAATCATAAGTCTGGACTTAAAATCCAGCTCTTGAATATTGATTCCTGGAAGTAAGAGCAAAGTCAAGTTACTACTTTGCTGTTATATATAAAATTCATAATCGAATTTGAAGAAAAAACAAATTACTTTGCCTTATTAAATATGTGAAGATATCACATTTTCTGGGTTATTTTTGCAGCTCCATCTATATTTACTTCCAGCTTTTTCTTTTAAGTTCATTCATGTTGGTGGCATGTTGCAATCACCCTGTAAGCAGAATTAGTATTTCTTAACTAAAAGAGCTTTAAAGATAGTCTATAACAAAGATGACCAATAGAAACTATTCTTTGAAAATACTGAAAACATGAAGAGAAATACATGTAAAAAGCCTTTATTGGAAGCTTAAACAATGTTTACATTTGAATAAAAGTTATAGGATTTCAATAATGTTGGAACTGTTAAAATTAAATACTGATCAGAAGAAAGGGTTGATTTATTGACTTTTTGGTTAATCTAATTTAATTCATGCAACATTAAATTTTATTTGTACATGCTAAAAGGTAAGATTTATTTAGAAATTAATTTGTGAATGTTAATGCAGAATTGCAAAAAGTGCCTTTTGTGTAAAAAACAAGATTAGTTTAAGTTTTACATTAGACTCATAGCTGCTGCAATGAAACTATTGTTTATACAAATGGTGCTGTTTAAGAAATTTAGACAGATTTCACGTTCATTATGAAATAGTGATATCTGGCAATAGAAAATTTTGCCAGGATGTTGAAGTATATCCAATTCAAACATTTAGAATGACTTTGTCCAGCCAAAACTTCCATTATCTACAGGCAGTACAATGATATTTCTTGAGGTTGTCCAGCTGTTCTACAAAATGAAAGTTACTAATTTTTGCAGAAATACTAACCTGGAAATTGAATCAAAAGTTGTGAAGTATCAAACTCCAAGTTGATTTTCTTCTTTTTCATCTCTTATCCACAAAAGTCAGATCTCTCTGTGAAAGAACCATCTATTTTTAAACTGTATTTAAAAATGCTTTAGGGTCCTGTAAATCTATTCCTTTGTAAGAATCTTGCATGATGCTTTAGGAATCAAAATTCTTTGAGATAAAATAAATTGGCTTCTCATTCTTTATAGTGCCAAAATTATAGTGTTAAAATGCCATCAGGCATCCCATTTTAATAATTAGGAATGATCAGTGAAGTAAGTTTCCTATTCTTTGCTTGCTTTAAATGGGAATGAATAATTGAGTGCATAGTCAGTTTTTTTTATTAAAATAGTACATTCCTAAAACACAGACCCTGCAGCAAAATATCAAAGCATGTGTAAAGAGCTAACTACACATGAAACTTGAATATAAGATATCACCAAACATTTGCATATAATGTCATTATTTTTGGAAGGACTCGTACATAAAAAAACTGCATTGTGTATCCATCAGAATTGAAATAATAGAGCAACATATTCTAATAACAAAATTCATTTCTTGCTCAAATAAACAGTTTGGGGATATGTTTCATAAAAGTGCAAACAGCAAGCAGTGTCATCTTCCAAATACTGTAATCATTCTATACATGTTGACTGAAGTGAGAAAAGCCTATTCTGGATTGCTACTATTTAATTACTTCCATTGGGCAGGTCCTGAAGAATTAACCACTGGAATGTGACTTTTCTCCACTTCAGTTGTATAGCACTGACACTACAACTAAATACTCCAACAGTTTTTCTTAAGATCATTATATGCAACTCATTTTCAAGCAGTCGCTACTATAAATGAGTATCAAGTATCTTACTTAAGAAAGTATCTTACTTAAAGAAAATGACAATTTAACTTGTAGAAAGATGAAATACTTTTATTCTCTAATCCCAGGTTTTATGGCAGATGAGAAAGAATTCTATGATAGGCAGGATTAGCTGATATACATAACTATCGGTAAATGTAGTTTAAATTATAGTATGATATAGTATAACATGAAAAATGTTAACTGAATTAGCATATATACCTGGCATATTTTACACACACACACACACAAATGTACACACACACATAGCATTTGTCCAAATACTTGGAGATGAATGCAGCACAGATATTAAAAAGTTAAGATGGTGGCCATGACTAAAACTTTACCCTTTGTATGTGTACGCGCAAAAGAGAAAGGGCATCAATTGTGTGATTGCAGCTGCCATCTTGATCTTTTTCTTTTACCCATTTCTGCAAACATCCCTGAAAATAATCTCTATTTTTTAATACATTTTAAATAGTAGTACAACGTACCAGTATAGGCTCAATGTTTTAGAGCATTACACTGTTTAGAAGAATCTGTTTCCTCTCCTTACTTTGTGGCATTTTCTTTCTTGTTCCTGGAACCATATGAGGTACCATTCATTTTCTGATACCGAGTTCCAAAAAAACCATATAAGGTCTTTTTTGTGAGCAATAATCATTGATCATGTAAAATTTTTAAAAGGCAGTTAATTATGACCATTGAAGAATATTGCAAATAAAATACAGGTTCTGGTTTATGGTTCAGTGTCATAGGAAAAGGTTTGTTTATAATTGTAATACACCTAAATTCCAAATCTCTACAGGTACAATCATATTTGTATGTACTGCATCAAACTTTTTGAAAGTGGATTTTCAAAAGCAGTTTTGATATTAGATAGCAAGAGAAGTATGTGAGAAATAGAGAAATGTTTCCTCAGAGCAAAAGTTTTTTAAAAAATTATTAGCACATGAATAACCTTCATCCATGATCAGAAACTTTACTTCACTATGGCTTAGTATACAGTTTCAAAATTATTATTAGTATACAGTTTTAAATTATTACTATTGCTTATGCTGTTCACATGCAGAAATGTGAAGAAACAATGATTAATTTGCCATTAAAGCATTCATCATTATTAAGAAGTATATGGAAGTGTTTAATTAAATTGTGGAACAGCCTTGAAGTATTTTTGGAAGCCTGCTTGAATTTTATTAAATTGAGCCATAGTTTATAAATATTTTGCTTTTATGCATGTCATCTTTTTTTTAAAATCATTTTGCCTATTATTTTAGAAACTGTAAGAATTCATGTGTGTTACTCATATCCATTGTACATTATGCGTGCATGTATTTTTATTTAAATAAAACTCATATTTTCATATTATTGCCTGAGTTTGAATTGTTTCCACTGCCATAAAACAGGCACCATAAGGTTAGTGCTTGAGAAGAAATGTGACAATTAAAGCAATATACATGTATATAATTTATTTACCTTATTGAAGTAATTTAGATGGCATACAATGATTAAAACCTGCAATAAATCACAGCACCCAAAGTAAACAATACATCTTAATCATAAAACCATAACACCAGAGCTTGGCAGCAAGCTTACAAAAAGCTAACAGGGTCGTTGCCGTTCAGATTTCTGATGGGATGCTGTTCTATAAGGCAGGCACTGTCACGGAGAGCACATGGCTCCTGAGTCCAATAAGATGGCACTGTTTAATAAAGGGGACCTAGAACTTGATGATGTGGTGGAACACAGAGCCCTCTTTGGGCATGCGAGCCATTGCCCCAGCTCGGCTCCGCCCCCTGTGTGCACCTGCTAGCCAGCTGCTGATCTTCAAGTCTCTGCCATGCATGCGGGGGGGGCAGGGCACATGCACGGGGGACACGCACGCATTTTATTTTAGGGATGTGCATGTGTGTGCTTTTTAGCCATCATTGACCTAGAACATGCTGTTGCTTCTACTTCTGGTAATGTGAGCAGAAATAATGGCAGCTACTCCCAAAAGCGTGGCCTTAGGGATTATAGATGTCAACCAGCCAGCACCTTAAACTGCTCCCAGAACTTCTTAGGAGCCTTTGCAGCTCAAAGAGCAATGGTATGTAGGCATAGTGAGAGATGCCAAGAAATTCCCACACCACTCCATTCTGAGCCAGATGCAGCTTCCAAATGCTCTTCAAGAACCGCCTCGTGGATTTTATTTATTTATTTATTTGATTTATATTGCCGCCTATTCGCTCAAGGCGGCTTATACAATGTAAAATCCTATTTAAAACAAAAAATAAAAATAAAAACTATAAGAACTAACAAAAAGAATCAAATAAATTAGTAAAGTACAATAGAACAAAATTTGGGGGGGGGGGACAAAAAAACAAAACAAAAACCAACTCCTACCCCGATGACAGTGGGTCATACTAGCCATTTGATGGGTTCCATCCCTCTCTGGGTTCCCCAGGCCCGCTGGCAAAACCAAATCTTAAGTGCCTTTTGGAATAGTATTAATGAGAAGGCCATTCTAATCTTTGGGGGAATGATGTTCCAGAGAGATGGAGCCACCACAGAGAAGGCCCTTCTAGGTCCCACCAGGTGTAACTCCCTCGGGTGGGACCCGCAGCATTCCCTGCCTCCTCGCTCTAATGGATCGGGTAGATGTCACTGGCAAGAGATGTTTCATCAGATAACCCATACCCAAGCCATGAAGGGCTTTAAAGGTGACAACCAGCACCTTGAATTGCACCCGGAAGCAAATTGGCAGCCACTGCAGCTCCTGCAGGAGGTGATACATGTGCACACCAGGGTCTGCATAAAACCATGTGGGCTGCTGCATTTTGCACCAACTGGAGCTTCCGGATGCTCTTCAAGGGCAGCCCCATGTAGAATGCGTTGCAATAATCAAGACGGGAAGTGAACAGGGCATGAGTGACTGTGAGTAGGGACCGCTGATCCAGGAAAGGATGTAACTGGTGCACAACCCGCAGTTGCGCAAAGGCTTTCCTGGCCACGACCGCCACCTGCTCTTTGAACAGGAGTCATGAGTCCAGGAGAACCACCAAGTTATGCACAGGGTCTGTTTGGGGTAGTGCTACCCCATCCAAGACAAAAGGTGGTAATTCTCCCTGAACCAACGAACCCCAAACCCAAAGCCACTCGGTCTTACATGGGCTTAGTTTCAGCCCGTTGCTCCCCATCCAGCCCCTAACAGCCTCCAGGCATTGCGAGAGGGGGGACACAGCAACACTTAACTCTCCACGGGCCGAGACATAAAGCTGAGTATCATCAGCATATTGGTGATACCTCAGTCCATGGTGATGGATGATCTCACACAGTGGTTTCATATAAATGTTGAACAGGAGCGGAGAGAGTATGGAGCCCTGTGGAACCCCGTAAAGCAGTGGATGAGGGTTGGATCTCTCCCCTCCTATCAACACTCACTGAGAGCGGCCGCAGAGGAAGGAAGTGAACCAAGACAGCACAAGGCCTCCCACTCCCATCCCCTGAAGCCGTCTCAGGAGAATCCCATGGTCAATGGTATCAAAAGCCGCTGAGAGGTCAAGTACAGCAAGGATGGATGCACTACCCCCATCCAGCTCCCGCCAGAGATCATCCAAAAGTGCAACCGGTGCTGTTTCTGTCCCAAATCCAGGCCTGAATCCTGACCAGACATTATATTTTTCCGATTAAAATCGGAATTCCGGGCGGGCGGTGCAAGCGGCGGGCGGTGCGAGCGGCGGGCGGTGCGAGCGGAGCCCGGGCAGGCGGGCGGGTGGTGCGAGCGGCGGGCGGTGCGAGCGGAGCCTGGGCGGG